ACCAGAAGCATCTGACTATTCTTGAAATTCTCTGGACAAAATTCTCAGCCATCTTGATTTAAAGCCTTTGATTTCTTCTTTGAAGCATCAATTTATCCATTGATTTACTGATACAAAGAACTTAACTGTGTGTCTGGTAGTATGCCTGGCACCGGCTAAGATGAAAGTGGGCTGATATTTCTGCCTTAGGAGATTTCTCACGAAGGCTCAACTCTTCCCCCAAAACCTTGACACTTCAACCAAACTGGGTTCTAAATCCAGAGAGGGACCTGCCTTCAACTGAGCGGAAGCCCATCTCACAGTCCCCCACAACCACTCTCCCTCCCAAAGCACCGATGTCCAGAGCCTTCAAAGACTGTTAAAAAACAGCACTGGACTTCGAATGGGATGACATGACTTTGTAACCTGGACTCTGACGCCTCCTTCACAAGATGAAGTGAGGATTGAGAGATGCAGACACAACAGCGGTATATCAAATGCAAAGCTCAGGACAACTTCTCAAGGTACTATGATTATTGCTGATCTTCTCAACTACCTCTTAAAACGGAAACATTCTGACATTTTCCTCTTTTGAACTTTAGACGCATTGAGCTAGAAAAAGAATTCTGAGACTGTCTTCAACACCTTCAAGTTTACAGACAATGAACATGTGAACCAAAGAATGATTAGCCTAAGGCTGAGGTCACCGGCTGGCAGCCCACGAACTGCATTTCACTTCGAGAGAGCTCTGTTTACCCACCAGATGTGGACTCATTCAGTGTTTTAAATTTCAATTGAAAAAAATTAGGACACTGCATAAAAATCTGGATTTCCAACTTCTCCTGATTGAAAGATCAGACAACACCGAACCTGTGTTCTTGTAAGGAATCACTGGATGAAGCTGACAAGAGGCCACCCCCTTAGATAGGATTTGCCAGGTCCTCACTGTACACTATTATTCCTCCATGATGGCCCACGATCAGCTGCCACAATCACCTCATTCCTGGTTCCTCCACTCATTTTCCTTACCCACATCACTTACTGAGTTAGCAACCTTTGGCTTACAGTCACATACCTTAGTGGAATTTTCTTTAATGCCTACACAAAATGAGATCCAGACCTCATTAATTCCTTTTCCAGAAAGTCTCACAATAGCCAACATGATTACAATCCAAAATCCCAGCGGATCCTTTTAGAGACACTGACAAGATAAATCTAAAATTCATGGATGTGCAAATGCAAATGACCTAGAGTAGTCAGAGCAATTTTTTTTTTTTTTTGGAGACGGGGTCTCTATTGCCCAGGCTGGAGTGCAGTGTTACAATCACAGCTCACTGCAGCCTTCGCCTCCTGACTACAGGCGCATGCCAACCATGCCCAGCTAATTTATATATATATATATATATTTTTTTTTTTTGAGAAAGAGTTTCGCTCTTGTTACCCAGGCTGGAGTGCAATGGCGCAATCTCGGCTCACCGCAACCTCCGTCTCCTGGGTTCAGGCAATTCTCCTGCCTCAGCCTCCTGAGTAGCTGGGATTACAGGCACGCGCCACCATGCCCAGCTAATTTCTTTTTGTAGTTTTAGTAGAGACGGGGTTTCACCGTGTTGACCAGGATGGCCTCGATCTCTTGACCTCGTGATCCGCCCGCCTCGGCCTCCCAAAGTGCTGGGATTACAGGCTTGAGCCACCGCGCCCGGCCTATTTTTTTTTTTTTTAGAGAGACAGGGTTTTACTATGTTACCCAGGCTGATGTATAACTCCTGGGCACAAGCGATCTGCCCACCTCGGCCTCCCAAAGTGCTAGGATTATAGGCGTGAGCCGTGGCACCTGGCCAGAGCACTTTTTAAAAGGAGAAAAGTTAGAGGACTTAGGTTACCAGGTTTTAAGGCATATTATAAAGCTATAGTAACACAGACAGTGTGCTATTATCAAAAAGAGAGACAGACAAATCACTGGAACAGAAAAGAGAGCCTCAAAATAAACCAACATATATATGGCCAACTGATTCCAACAAAATTGCCACAGCAATTCAATGAGGAAAGAAAAGTCTTTCAACAAGTGATGCTGATACCTTACAGCGGGGAGTAAAAGCAGCTGAAGATCCTCACGCGGGAAATTAAAGCAGCTGAGTGTATAGACATTCACTGTGACAGCCAGGTCACTCCAGCTCTGCCACTATACCTCTCTAAGCCTCAGTTTACTCATCCACAAAACGAGGAAAATTCCAGATATACACACCACAGGGTCATTTTGAGGACTACGGAAGCTAACAACATATGAAAGGGATTCCCGTGCCCAGCAAAGGGAAAGTCCTCAATATTTAGCCCAAACCTAGTATTTCCATCTTCTCTCTCTCCTCCATTCTGAGACCTCACTAATCTATGACTATCTATTGTCTTCTCTGTTGTTTATTTTCACAGGAAAATAATGAGTCTTTCCAAATATTCAGGTCAAATCAACACTCCAGGTTGATACGCTGAGTTAGTCTTGTGGTTCCTTAACACAAGCTGCTCTTCACAGCCAAACTTCTGGAAATTTCCAACCCTATCTCCATTCCCTCCCATCCATTCCTCAACGACTTACAATTAACCTTTCACCCAGCACCCTGAGAATGCAGCATCTCTCACCGAGGTTACTGATGACCTCCTCCGATGACCTCCACATGACTAGACCAAAGGACACATCTTTCGTGTCAGCCTAAGTCAGCAGCACTGGGTGCAGCTGGTTGGCATTCCCTCCTCTTCACAGGAGTCCTCCTGGCTTTCTCCTGGCCCTCTGGTTGCTCTTCAAACCTTCTTTGCTGTTTCCTCCGCCTCCCTTTCAAAAGCCCATTTCTTGGGCTCCTCCTAGGCCCTCTTCACCGTTTACTTTCTGACAAGGGTCATAAACTCAACCGCCTACAGCTGTCAAGCAGGGACTCTAAGTGAACCTACCTGGAATCACCGCAAAGAATACCTTTGAGGGTGATGGGGCCTATAGCAAACTGAAGACCACATCCATTGGCTTTCTAATGGGGCAGCTACCATTTGGCTTCAGGCAATTGCTGCCAACCAGAAATGTCATGTTAGTGTCGTTAGACTATCTAACTTTTCAAAAGAAGCCAAAGTCCAGATTTTACTATAAAATCCCAATATTTATTTTTATGGAGACAGGGTCTCTGTTGCCCAGGCTGGAGTGCAGACTCACAATCACAGTTCACTGCAACCTCCGCCTTCCGACTATAGGCATGCGCCACTATGCCCAGATAATTTTTGTGTATATATATATACTTTTTTTTTTTTTTTAATTTAGAGATGGGGTTTCACCATGTTACCCAGGCTGGTCTAGAACTCCCAGGCTCAAGCGATCTGTGCACTCAGCCTCTCAAAGTGCTGGGATTACAGGTGTAACAATATTCATTGTTAGTCTTAATTAAAACCAACCAACCAACAACTAACCACATTTTGGGCCAAAACCAAAAACATGTTAGAGGCCCGAATACAGAAGTCAGGCCCCAGTTTACAGTCTGTTCCATCAGTTCTTCCCAGGCAGCCAAATCTACTTCTGTGGCTCCAAACCGAAAATGTCCTCGTTCTCAGTAGCCCAGCCTTCCTTCTCAGGCTCCAAAGCCATCTAAACAGCTGCCTGCCGAACCATCTCTACCCACCTGCCTCACAAGCACCTCCAACTCAGCATTTCCGCACAGCCCAAACCTGCTCCTCCTCTTAATGAAGGACACCCTGAAATGGTTCAAGCCCTCCCTCTTTCCCGCCTTCCTCACCCATTCACAAATCCAGTCCTTTCCACCTCCTAAATATCAATCTGCTCACCGCTGTGCCTCCCAACTGCCACCATCTTAATAAACGCCACTATCATATCTCCTGCTGAAACTCTCCTCCACTCACCATGCTGGAGCCAGAGGAATCTTCTAAAAATGCAGCTCTCAGGCCGGGCGCGGTGGCTCAAGCCTGTAATCCCAGCACTTTGGGAGGCCGAGGCGGGTGGATCACGAGGTCAAGAGATCAAGACCATCCTGGTCAACACGGTGAAACCCCGTCTCTACTAAAAATACAAAACATTAGCTGGGCATGGTGGCGCATGCCTGTAATCCCAGCCACTCAGGAGGCTGAGGCAGGAGAATTGCCTGAACCCAGGAGGCGGAGTTGCGGTGAGTCGAGATCGTGCCATTGCACTCCAGCCTGGGTAACAAGAGTGAAACTCCGTCCCAAAGAAAAAAAAAAATAAATGCAGCTCTCCCGTGGTCCAACCCCTTCAGTGACTCTCCATTGTCCTTAGGATCAAGTTCCAAATCTTGTCTCTACAACCTCATCCCTGTGGACACCTCCAGCCTCATCTCGCGTCACCTTCCTCATCCCTTACTGAAGCTCCGTTCCCTGTACCTGCAACATATTCCCTCCCTCAACACACAAACCCTTGAATGCCTCCCTGACTCCCACTGAGCCTTTAGGCCACTGGAAGAGGTGAGAACTCCCTACCATACGTGTCCAGAGCTCCACCTGCTTCTGCGTTGGTGATATTCATCAAAATGCGTCTTATTAAATGAATGTTTTCCTCGTTAAATCCTAAAATCCATTAGGACACTGTGTTTCGCTTGCTCATTACTATACGCCCAGTGTCCACCCTAACCCCTGGCACACACTAACAGCTCACTCAATAAGTAAATATATGGGACAAATTAGTAAGATCTTTGAAGGACTGCCCCATGTTTTCACCCTCCTCCCTCACACACACACACGCAACAACAACGTAGTGGGCACTCAAATACTGGCAAATGAATACATTAAAAAACCAACAACATAGCAGCCTCTTCCCAGGCACACCTGCCTCCACTTTCTTCCCTCCCTTTACCATTCCAGGTGCCACCACTTAACTACTCCTCCTGGATTCCCTTCTCAAAATTACCCACTGCTTCCTGGTAACACCCGACTTCTTTTTTTGAGAAGGAGTCTCACTCTGTCACCTAGGCTGGTGTGCAATGGTGCAATCTTGGCTCACTGCAACCTCCATCTCCTGTGTTCAAGCGATTCTCCTGCCTCAGCCTCCTGAGTAGCTGGGATTACAGGTGACTGCCACCACGCCCAGCTAATTTTTTGTGTGTTTTTAGTAGAGACGGGGATTCACCATGTTGGCCAGGCTGGTCTTGAACTCCTGACCACAGATGATCCACCTGTCTCAGCCTCCCAAAGTGCTGGGATTACAGGCGTGAGCCACCACGCCTGGCCATGGACTTCTAAAGCTAGAAAAAATTCTCCACAGTCTAGTCTATCCCACCCATCAGGTGAACAGGATTTAACTCCAACTCTGAAGGATTGTTTTGATTACGTAGAGAAGGACTTGAAGCCCAACACAGGCTCAGTAGGGAAAAAGCATCTAGATTGATCAGCAATGTCTGCCCTATCAATTAGCATGTCTGTCATGGGCTAGTAATGGAAAGTCAGTATATCTGCCATCCAGTTACCAACCATGAACTAGGTGGATACTTCTCCAACTGGGATCTTTGGATCCTTAGAGACATGTCCTTCATAGACACGCTGGGAATCTAAGAGTTCTCTATGAGAAGTGCTCTAATTTGATGACTTGTTTATGAAAACAACCCATAAGATTTTTTTTTTTTTTTTTTTTTTTT